GCGTGCATTGTCTCTCTTTGGATCTCAATATTTTCCCACTAGATGGCCAAGACCTAGTGTTTTGGCAGTAGTTTGACGCACAAATGTATGACGTCATCATTTCAACCATCAACGAACGCATGGAACTAAAACAAAGCTTAATATAAAGGAAAAGCTAGAGAGGTGACGGAATTACCCACGATGACGGAATATACCGCGTTTACCCTATGATGTGGGCTGTTGGCATGTGGTTGGTAGTTGGTTATCCATGATGGCTCAGTCTGACTCTGGTCTATTTATATAACTTGAAAATGAACTTATGGAAGATCTTAAAAGTCTGCATTGCTGCTATTTAATTTATTATTGCTTGTAGATAAGATTTGGATTTGGGGCATGGTGACTTTGAGAAAAAATATAACTTGGTATTCACTGCAGTGAGTGACAGAGACTGAGAGCGCATTTTCTCATCAACAAAAATGTGTAGTCACAGACATGACGAGCACAACAGCGCATTTTTTCCATAAATGAGAAGATGTGCTAAAAAGACATTTCAGGTTCAGGCCTAGTAGCCTAGTTTCTAATATAATTCTCATGAAGGCAGCTCCTGTTGAAGCAAATAGCAACAGCTCTTATATAAGAAATTTATTTGTATTACTCAAGCAAAAGAAAATGAATTTCTGAATTTTTTTCTTTGCCAAACTGCCTGATGGGCTGCTGCAATTTTGAATCAGTTAAGTGGCAACTCAAGTGTTGTGGTCTAAAATTTCTAAATAAATAAGATGATAGAGTTGTCATCTCAATAAACTTGCAAAGTTTTGCAAAGTTGCAGGTTGCAGCTTGGCAAATGTTTTTAATTTCTTTGAATATTACATAAGAAAGGTATAAATAAATAATATTTAATTACATAGTTTTTATTATATTAATGACTGATAAATTATTATGAAATTGAATTATAGAAATTTTAATTATCAAGGTAATACTCTAGATGAAGTGCATCCAAAAAAAGGGAGTTTTTTTTAATTATATGTTTTTTGGGGTGTAGATTAAGAATCTGAAATCCGTTTTTGGCGATCGGCATCGGAAATTTTTAATGGAACCTGTTCCTAACTGGACCTAACCTGCGAGGTTTTCGTTGATTGGCTAGGTTTTTCCGGCTGCCAGACAGACTCCAAACATAAAAAAAACCTATTGGCTAGGTTTTTCCGGCCGCCGGATGGACTCCAAACATAGAAAAAACCTATTGGCTAGGTTTTTCCGGCCGCCGGACGGACTCTGGACTCCTAACATAGAAAAAACCTATTGGCTAGGTTTTTCCGGCCGCCGGATGGACTCCAAACATAGAAAAAACCTATTGGCTAGGTTTTTCCGGCCGCCGGACGGACTCCAAGCATAAAAAAAACCTATTGGCTAGGTTTTTCTGGCCACCGGACGGACTCCAAAAATGGAAAAAACCTAGCCGATCAACGAAAACCTCGCAGGTTAGGTCCAGTTAGGAACAGGTTCCATTAAAAATTCCCGATGCCGACCGCCAAAAACGGATTTCAGATTCTTAATCTACACCTAAAAAAACATAATTAAAAAAAACACCATTTTTTGGATGCACTTAATCTAAAGTAATACCATTAACAATTCAGCATCACCATTTTTTCCCCTTCACTACTGAAAAATGCTGAAATGCTTAATTTGTTTAAGATGCTATCTTATCTGTTTCAGAAGTGGTGGTGAGAAACTAAAAATTTTCATCTTGAACAATATCAAGGTTTTTAAATCATGTCTGAAGCAGGCAATTGGTGTCTGATTGAGAGTGATCCAGGTGTCTTCACGGACCTCATTCAGAAGTTTGGAGTGGATGGTGTTCAAGTAGAAGAAATCTGGAGTCTTGATGATGATGCTTTTGCCAACTTGAAACCTGTTCATGGACTAATATTCCTATTCAAGTGGCAGAAGCTGGAAACGCAGCCTGAGTCAACATCATCTGTATTGCTCAACCCTCCTTCAACACTTTTCTTTGCAAAGCAAGTGATTAACAATGCTTGTGCTACTCAAGCTGTTCTCTCTGTCTTGCTTAATACATCTCATGAAGACCTAAAACTAGGCTCAACTCTGTCAGAATTTAAGGAATTCACAGCAGCTTTTGATCCCAACCTCAAGGGCTTAGCACTGTCTAACTGTGATATAATTCGAAATGTACACAACTCATTTGCACGTCAAACTCTCTTTGAGTTTGATCAGAGTGCTGCTACCAAGGATGATGACATATTCCATTTCATCAGCTATGTTCCTCATGGCGGTCGTTTATATGAACTTGATGGCTTGCAAGAAGGCCCAATTGATTTGGGTGAAATATCTGAAGGACAGGACTGGCTAAACAAAGTCCAACCCATCATCCAACAACGGATGTTGCAGTACAGCAGTGGTGAGATCCACTTCAACCTCATGGCGCTGGTGAGTGACAAGAAAATGATGCTGGAGAGAGAAATAAACAAATTGGAAGGCGTGGCTGGGAGCGAAGCAAAACTGGCAGAGTTGAGACAGGCCATCATGGATGAAGAGAGCAAGAGGGCTCGTTGGCGTGAAGAAAACATCAGACGTAGACATAATTATTTGCCTCTCATTGTCAACATGCTGCAGATGCTTGCCAAAGAAAATAAGCTTCTACCAATTTATAACGCTGCTAAGAAGAAAGCTCTTGAAGCCAAAAAATTTAAACCGGCAAAAGGGAAGGCTGCATGAAGAGTCATTTTGAATTCTATGTCAACTTTGGTGTGAAGCGCATTTTTTTGTGTCCTGTAGAGCCCTCTTTCATATTCCTTTTGGAGCAAAATTTGTACAATATTTTTATGTTAAAATTATTGCTTCTACATCAGTCCACAATTTAGGAGTTTGGTTGACTTGATTTCAATTTATTAAAATATTAGCACACACGCAAATGTACGACAGATGCATTAAATGGCTCATAGAACTTGATTGAAGATGCGTTTCCTTATCAATGAAGTAAGATGGTCAGAAAGTTCCTAACAGAGCATAACTTTCTCCCACTTGGTCCATGGAGTTGATAGAACAACACTACGTACAACTTGAGTTTTTTAAGATGAGCGTTGAATTAATCTGGACAAAAACGTGTCATTTTGAGAAATGTTTTGAGGAACATAATTAAAATCTAAATTATTTACACAGGGGTACATTAAAGAATAACATTGAACAAATTTTCGCCAGAAAAATTTAAATGTACGGAAATGGCAGAAATTATTTCAATTACCTATATTTCGATTGTGAAGTACGACATTATCATGAAGGGCCCCTTTTAACTTGACGCTGGATCATTTGTTAATCGAAGTATGAATGTTCCTTAGAGAATGGTAACAAATCTGTTATAGTACAATAGAGATGTCAACAAATTTAGTGTGAAAACTATCAGCGTTTAGTGTGCAAAAAAGTTGAATGAAACGTCAGCGAGTTTAACAAGCTTAAAACACTCGTTTATTGATGACATTCCTACAGACATCTGGAGCATTTATAGTAGGTACGGTATGCATTGTGCCATTGATACCGCGCATCGTACCTTTGGTCAGTTCAGCTCCCGGCCTGTGCGTACATAGAATTGATCGTGCTAAATTCGCTGGCCGCATCTCGCATTAAGGCCAGTTCTGTACAGTAGCTCCATGTCTACTACAAATGGATTCAGTGAACGTGGAAAAATAGTCTAACTTGCGTTGCTCATTTGCCAGATTACAGACTAAACGTGTACGTCCATGTCGAGAGTAAACGTTAACGTTACTGATGGTAAAACAACTGGCTAAGTGTTATTGTTTGAAACACGCAAGTCAGTATCCTTATTAAATCGGTACTAACAATTTACGTAGGTACGTTAGTTAACCATCGAGGTTTGAGAAGATTAATTCTTCCTCAATAGTCTTCAACAATATATAAAATTCATACACATCGGTATAAAACTCAGCTCGGCACTAAGTCGACTGTTTATATTCAATTGAACATGCTATTTGGTAGCGCAGAGCGAATTCAGGACTGATGTAATTTAAACATTTTCGAGAGAAAAATAGGTCTGTACGACTTGAGGCATATTGAGCCTCAAAAAAGTGGTAAAAGTAATGCACCGCAAGATAGAAAATTTAGTTTGGGAATAGAGCATCAGAATTAATGGCTAGTCTCTCGACGTTCATGCCTGCCTATTTTACTAATTTTATGCCTGCATTGTTGAGGCCTTGCGTCACTTATGAGATGCAAAAGATTAATATTGGTTAATAATTTTAATCTGGGAAATTTGAGACGAGGTGAGCAAAGAAACTATAGACTTACAGCTGAACCTTAGGTTCATTGCACATTTAATAAAATCTATCTAAATATAAAGATTTGTACTTCAGCTCGACAACCCCAAAAATAAATTATTTTAATACCATAAATAGATGAAACATCGTAATAACCTACAAACATTGACGATCACTAAACGGATGCAAGATAAATGCATTTTTTAAGCAAGATTTAAGGTGAGCGAGATAAATAATGTAACATAACATTACGAGATGTTAAACAAACGTGGAACTCAAATTTGTACGCATCAATAGTTCAAATATAGACGAATCATGAAATTTTCATTTGTTAATGAAAATTACAATTTTGCAACGCGATGGTATCAGAAACGGAATAACGGGCATTACAACTCTTAGCAGCACGTTTGTTCTGCATGCTTGATAGATACAAATATTTACAGATATAAAGCCAACCAGCCTATGCTACATCCTCCTGTTCAGAGAACATGAGGAGCTATTTATGCACTATTGAACGCAATAGGTGATGCCTATAGATATTGAACACATGGGCCTAGAGGCATGGAGAAGGTGTACCAATATGTTCACAACAATGTGGAGCTATTTTTACTCTCCTTTGGTTCTCCTTTAGTTTACTGGAAGTTATGCTCAGGTTGAAACGTGCAGGTATTTACAATATGGACACTTCAATGGATAAAAATATCGCTCGTACCTATCCTTATCTTAAGCTACTATTGGGCGCAGAGTTTATACTGTACACGAGTATATATAATAAAAGTGTTTGACGAGCCCTCAGAGCGACACCTTCGTGCCTTCACCACCACTTCCACCGCCAACACCGCCGTGTTCAGGACTGTGTCTTTGCTTCTTCTTTTTCTTCTCTTTTTTCTTTTTCTTACGCTCATCGTCATTTTTCTTCTTCTTATGAGGCTTCTTCTCATGACCATCTCCTGATCCCGCGACGCCCACACCTCCCACGACGCCACCGGCACTGCCAGCAGTGAGCCCGACGCCAGAGCTGAGAGGGAAGTCGTTGTTAGACTGAGGGTCGTACGAGGGCGTGAGAGGGTCGCCCTTCTTCTGATGGCGGTGGCGACGCGTGCCCTCGGGCTGGCTCTGGAAGCGGTACTGCTCTGGCAGCGGTCCATGCTGCAGCCGGAAGCCTGCCAACTACGCGGGGCAGAAATAAATCAAAACTTGCTCATCTAACTTTTAAATAAGACAATATTCTGACGCAAATTTGGAGTTCACAGCAAAAAAAAAAAAAGAATCAAGTAGCACATCACGTGTTACCTAATTTCACTTACCGAATGAGATTCTGTTAGCTATGCTACAGTGACTAGCAAAAATATATAGGTATAGTAAGAATCTAAGCGCAATAGCTCGGGAAAATCGCGTTGTGAAAATGTCAATAATAACGAAAGAAGTGGCTTGATTTAAAAATCGTTTTTTAGTTATTTGATTGAACTGGCAACAAAATAAGTGGCTTGGCTTGATTCAACAATGGTTTGGCAGTTACGTAGGTAATTATAGACTAACCTGGTGATGATTGAGCGGAACGAACTCCTTGAAGACGGGGGGCTTCTCTATGAGGGACTGCAGGGAGGAGTTCGTGAGGTGTGCTGGCGTGTCAAGGATTCCTGGCAGGCTCGGCAGGAAGGACGACAGCGAATCCTTCACCTGCACAGATAAATTAACAAATTAGCCTCCTTGATATAAAGAATTGGAATGCAGTTTCGTCTAATGTGATGACGAATATTTGTTGACCCGAGAACAACATAGGTATAGAAAAGCCGGAAAAAGCAAATTGAGCCAGAAAAAAACAAACGGAACACAAGCATAATAACAATGACAGTTATAGCGACATAGCAAAATGGCAATAAAATGTAAAGCAAAAGTAAGTGGAAAAAAGTATGCGAGAAACCAGGCTATAGTACGAGCAGGCAAGAGGACGAGCAGGCAAGAGGGCGAGCAGGCAAGAGGACGAGCAGGCAAGAGGTGTGCGCGCAAGCAAGTGTAAAGCAAGGTTTGCATGGGTATGCGCGGTGTGTGGGTACCTTGTACGTTGCACGGGGGGTACCTTGTGTGGGCTCCAGGACTCCATAGGGCGGAATTAGTGTGATACATGGGTGCTTCGTACGACGGCCAACTCAAGATCGCCAACATTTGACATGGACCTCCAGACTTGTGACAGCATACCTGCAAATTCAAAAGTACATAAATTTAAACTGCACGACACGGTGCTACTTTACAATGCACAACTAACCACGAACCTATTATATGTAACACATAGAAAAAAGTAAATGGGTCAAAGCACTCAAAGGCATCAAACTGAAAACATTGAACAAGATTTACATCTAACTCAATATTGTCATTTACTTTTATTAAATGCTATTATTATTAAACCATTATAATAGAAGAATTATAGTCCAGAAGCTTCAATGATGGAGCCCAACTATTCATTGTTCTTATTCTTAATACTAAGTACTAGAATAGAAGTCACTATTCACTAATTGACTAGCAGACTTTGGACTGTAGGACTAGGCTCTCAGCTTAATGATTGCACGGTTCTACCTAATCTTTATTATTATTATTTTTAGATGTGTATAAGAGACAGGCAGGCAAGAGGGTGAGCAGGCAAGAGGGCGAGCAGGCAAGAGGGTGAGCAGGCAAGAGGGCGAGCAGGCAAGAGGACGAGCAGGCAAGAGGGCGAGGAACGTTAAATGAGAAACAAATGAGGTCAGGAGGTCAAATGGACAAAGATGGGCCAATGAAAACATAAAAAAGGAAATTTTTATGAGTTATGAAATAAATGAAGTTGTTAAGAATAGTCAACCTAAATTCCCAAAGTGGTGCAAAGTTGAATCCATCTTCCATCCCGTATCAGATTTCTATGGTGTAATGGGTATGTTTTTGACTGAGTACAATTACGGTCATGATTTAACAAAATACTGTACAATTTGGAACGACAAAATAATCTCAAAATTATGAGACAAGACTAGTATGAACCCGAGACCTAAAATAGTGCAAAGAATATTATACAAACAGCAGCCAGATGTAGTTTCCCTGTAAGGAAGTTGTGGATCCACCTTAACAGGCTTCCTCCTACCCCCAACAGCCTCAGCTTTTTGAAGAGCACCCAATGGTCAACTTTGTCAAAAGCTTTAGCAAAGTCCAGGTATACTACGTATCACCTCCCTCCTCTAGCTTAGCCACCAGTCGTTGATGGTGCTCCAGTAACTGTGACAAACCAGAACGATTACGCCGGAAGCCATGTTGTCCGTTATTATACGGGTCAGCCTCTTCTATATACCTGACAAGCCTCCTGACCACTACCTTCTCAAAAACCTTGATCACATTTGAGGCCAAGGTCACAGACTCACAGGTCTATAATTTTGGGGTCTGTCCCTCGGACCTCCTTTGTGGATTGACGTTATCAGTCCCACTTTGAGGCCCTCAGGGATAATTCCCTCCGTCATTGAGGCTTTCCGGAGCATTGTGAGTGGAGCCTTCAGTGCTCCAACACACTTCTTCAACAGCACTGCCGGAATTCCATCGGGTCCTGGGCGCTGAAAACGTAGCCAGTTCTTTGATACTTAATTTCAATGTCTTCTGGTCCAAACTCAATGTTCTCCAACCCTCTACCGCCTGGCAGCTCCTGGAGAACTTCAATTTCATTCTCCTCCCTTGAGTAGCGGGGGTTACTGAACACTGATTCAAACTGAGATCCCAGTAACTCACACATGCCCTGGTCATCTCCGACAATGACTTCGTTATCCTTAAGCGGGCCTACTGGCGTCTTTATTTTAGCCTTGGACTGAGCATATTTAAAATAATACTTGGGGTTCTCTCTGATAACCTCAACCACTCGCTCTTCAGCAGCTTGTTCTTCCATCCTATGCGAGTCCCGCAGCATGAGTTCAATTTTCTTTTGCAAATTTACTAGCCTCTGTCTTCTCTGTTCACTAGTGGATTCAGCTGTTAGTTTATTTAATCGCTTTCGTTTTCTCATAAGGATTTGTCGGTCTCCCGGAATGCTGCAGACTTCAGGGCCTGTTTTTCTCGGGGTATGACGCACACATAACTGTGCTAGTTTCTCACACAGTTTTGTGTAGATTTTCTCGGCGCTCACCTCGTGAACCTCTTCTCTTCCATAGATTTTGTCAATTCATTCCAATTATCACCCAATCCGTTCTTCGATTGTGGAAGTCAAGTCCTGCCAGTCCCTCTTGGGGTATAGACCTGGGCTAGGTGCCCAGGTATATACCACACACTGCCAGGTACCACACACTGCCATGTACCACACACTGCCACGTACCACACACTGCCATGTACCACACACTGCCATGTACCACACACTGCCACATACNAACAATGGCCAAAGTCACTCAGGCATTTATGACCTGGTTTACAACCCCGGCGTTTACGACCCCGCCTTTACGACCCCAGCATGAATCAAAAACGAGGCAGAAGTCACCCCAGTTGATGGTAATTAATGTTTATGGTAATATCATATCAATAAAGGAAAAACAAGTAAAAATCACAGAAAATGTCATTTATTCTACCTCTACATCGTCTACAGTGAAAGAGGAGGACTTCAGAGTACTGTTAGTAATGGATGAGTATGCTCTGCATGCTTCAAATATTTTGAAATGAAGTTTTATTCCCATTGTCCCGAGTAGCCCCGACCGACGGGGCTAATCAGGACAATCTTTATTTTGCGTCTGGCACCTTACGAATAGCATATGGAATTTTTTTGACAATGCCATTCGATAGCCCTTGCAAAGAGCTATAAAATGAGCCTAAATTTGTTTATGAAATGTTTCATTGTAAGAAGTTATTAACAGTTATTAACAAAAAAATGATCAAATCTGTCCAGAGTAGCCCCAGTTGACGGTAACATATTTGAATTATTTAAATAAATTGTTTTATACTTTTTTATTACATGAAACATTCTGCATTTTGGAGTTATGTTATAAATGTATTATTTAAAATTTCAGTTGGCCTTAAAACGTTTATAGGAAGCTAAATATTTTTAATATTGCCATGTGACTTGGCCTTGGAAGATTGGTCATATAATAAAAAAATGGCTGAATGGCTGCCGCCATTCAGCCGCTGGGCTCAGTGGGCTGGCGTGGCGGTCTGCGCAGGTTACGTACTGGCGGTACGGCAGTAAACACTGAGTTTTTGTGGTGAAAGGTTGGGTGATGTTGCTGCGCTCCCATTTTGGGCAGGCGCGCTCGTAAATTCCATGTGATGATGGTAATTAAGATTGCTTCTAGAGTGGCACAGTGAGCCTGGAAGGTGTAAGGTGGTAAATTTTTCAATACATTTTCTTTTGTTAACATGATAATATATTACCTATACAGAATTCCGTACTGGAGCCTACAACATTTCTACGAAATGTGGGACGCGCATCCCGATTTACCCTGCCTGTCCCTTTTTACCCCATTTGACAGTACGTAAATAGTATGCCTACACTGTCCTACAACAGTAAAACTTTGAACCACAAAAATCATTCTGAAGACTATCTCAAAGTTCAGACAAATCCAGTCATCCAGAGATGGATAGCTGGTGTCCAATCTGCAAAGATGAGATCAGCCATTGTTGGTTGATTGAGGTCAGACCACTGCTTGATGATAAAGCTGGTGGGTTCCTTCAGCACAATGCAAGTGATGGTCAGGTTGTGAGATTGTCTCATGTGGTTCACTTGCCGTCTTGCCCTACGCCTCTGGGTTGAAGGTAGCTAATGAGACAGCAGCTCGGTGACCTGGTTGTTGAGCTAATTTGTCCAATGTAGTCTAAATGATGAAGAAGTCTACAACCTTCTTTGAAGCAAAATTTATAGAATACATAAACATTGGTCTCTATTCTCTTGGATAACTCTCGCTACTTTGCTGGCCGGGACCATTGTTGCATATATTTTGAGTTATGACGCTATTTTTAAGTGTGTCATGAAGCCAGCTGATGAGCTGAATTCATCTACAATCTCAAGATGAAGTTGTTTCTTTTTAATAGCCTACCTACTTTGACACCTGGTCTGGTTGTGAGATTGTCTCAGGTGGCAGGACGCAGGACCGGCAGTTCAATTTTCATAGTTGTTATTACTTACTAATTAACTAAAATTACTCAAACATAATCCAAATAATGAAGAAGTCTACAACCTTCTTTGAAGCAAAATTTACAGATTACCGTACACCTTTTGTCTCTCTGTGTGCGCACCATCTGTAACGCGTAAATTAATTTAAGTTTACCGGAGCGGCTGCTACGAAAGACAAGCATTCCGCAATCCGTGGTAACAAATATAATGATAACTCAACAGCTCAACTTGCAAATTTACTTCGTTCCGTAATTACATTCGTATCATGAAATGTTCGTTTGTGGAAACAATAATGATATTTAATGGAAATCAAAACAATAAAATAAAATATAGCCGGGAATCTGTTCGTGAGCACCGATTCAGATCTGCAAATGGTTTGCAGGCAGAGACACGTTCTTATGTGGAATCTAAAAATTTCTCTGGCTCGTATTTTGAAAAGTTTGTAAGTTGAGGCGTTCGTAAGTCGGGGTATCACTGCATGTAACAGTTTTCTGCAACTAAAAATTTCAGCTTTTTAGGACAATTTCATAGAAATTTTGCTTAGGTAGGTTAGGGGGCGCATGCCGGTGGCCAGCTTTTCCAAACTACACATTTGGTTCATATTCCTTTCCATAGGTATGAACGCTAGAGTGCATAACGGCCATTGAAGGCAAGTGCTCAAAGCCATAGCGCCGGATGTCCACAGCCACAAAATAAGCTGGCCAAAGGTAAACATGGCCATACTGCATCTGGCCAAACCTCATCTGGCCTAACCTCTTCAGGCATAATCTATACAAGCTGCAACCTTTCTCCACCCAAAACAAACCAGAGTGGACCTAACCTAACCTCATTGGCTGCAAGAAGTTAGAAAGGCGGTCCAAGTGTGCTGGTAGAGCCAGTCATTGGCTGCAAGAAGGCTGTGAACCGGGACAGCGGGAATAGGTAAGGCCAGAAGAGGTTAGGCCGGATCGAGTAGGTACAGCCGGATGGGGAACTGCCTGCTTATGAGCGAGCATGCTTAAGAAGCATTGGCTGAAGACCTACGGCGCTATTATCTTTCGGCAGTGTTTCGCTTGTCTGGATTACAGAGTTCAAGCGTAGTCTGTGGCTTCGGGTTCTGAGGCTGAGTAAAGTTAATGCAAGGTGAAGCTAGTCATTGGCTCCAGGGCTGATTTACGAGTAAAATTTGTGGCCTACGGATGCGCCCCCTAGGTTAGGTGGGCAAATCAGCGAGAGCTGCAAGACATAAATTACCTTTCACCTTTAAATTACCTGCATCAAATCAATCAAATATCACACCTTCTTTTTACTTAAAAGGGGAGCGTCTGGGTGGTGAAGAAACGTTTTTGTTTACAGACGGATCGGTTTGAAACTTGGTACACATATGTAAAACAGAATTCTAAGGCTTTTTTGTTCGTGTAAATTTTTCGAAAAAATGAAAGAAAACGTAAAATTCTTAGAAAACGGCCAAAAAAGGGGTACCGTAGAAAACTATCTCCTCCTAGGACTTTGCAGCTATAACATCGAGACGCATATCATTCGATGCGTAAGGACCATATCTATCGATTCGTCGTAGCTTTTCTCGAATTTCGAGTTTTTGTGGATGTGGGAGCATTTTTCCCAAAATTTTCGAAAAATTTTCGCTTTTTTCCAATTTCCGCCCCTTTTTCAAAATATTTTCAAAACTATAACGAAATTCGAAAAAGCTACGACGAATCGATAGATATTTTAATTACGAATCGAATGGTATATCTCCCATTGCTGTAGCTTCAAAATTCTAGGTGGAGATAGGTTTGCCGTGACAAAAAGTTAACTTTTCAGGACAGCGCGACAAAGTCCCGCGCGCATAGGAATAGCCACTCAATGTAGCAAGGTTACGAAACTAAGTGTTACAGGAGCTTGATTCCAGTCAAGGATGGTGGAAGCGACTGCTAGCACACCACCCCGTAGGACACCAGTCGCGCTACTGAAGCTCAGCTCTAGCAGACAGTCTATTTATAGTGCTCAGCGGCTAATTTCCCCTACCGTATCTTATTTGTTTCCCCTGAACGCATAAATCCACGTACAGAGATGGTTTAGGTATCGTTGGATAGCTTAGAATGTAAGCTTTAAGATGAGACTAAAAACCGGAAAAGCCAAAACTTCGATTTTGGACCCAGACGCTCCCCTTAAAGGGACTAAATAGAGCAGTTATATATCTACGCTATTGTTGCAGGCTGGAAATATTCTCATTCTGTAAATCAAATTTTCCTGGCATTTTTGGAGTCGCAAAATTATTATTTTCATATATAATTGTAACAAAACTGCGCGATTAAGGAACAAATTTTTAAAATTAATCGAAATACATGACACAGAGCTTACGATATTACAGAAAATTCTCTTATCTGGAATTAACTTATATAAAGTTATTTTAATTATTGTATATAAAAGTTATTTAAATGATTGATTTTTAAATAGTTTTTTTGAGGAACTCGAGAAAATTAGTGTATTGGTCAAGGCTTGATAATTTATAATGGACAGCCGGACTTGAAAAATTTGGATTTTCTTCCTAAATTATTAAAAGGAGCTTTTCCTCGAGCCATCGGGGTAACCACTTTTCTTCAATAAATAAAAAAAAGGATGCGATATTTTAGTCTGGGTGAAAACTCAAAAAGCAATAGGCCTCATAGCAGTCATAGGTCAATCATGCTAGGCAAAGGGATCAGTCATATCGCATCTACAAAGTTGTTTAACTATATTACAGAGAGAGCTGATTAAGGCCAGGGGAATAATAACAACAGAAGTGATCACAAAACTTTTTTTGAAGTAAAAAATTAAGTTGCACCATTGGCGTCCGTATTAAATCTGGTAGGGGCAGATGGAAATTAAAAGGTAGGGCATGATAAACTAGTTATCATTAGCGATTTAAAAGAAGTAATTAATTTATCTGGTACTAATTAAACTAAACACACGTGACCTGCAACAAACATGGCGGTTACGAGTTGAGCGATCAGACGAGCAGCCCTCGACGGGGTTGGCACGCGGTACGCGACGATGAACAAGTGACGTGACGAGGCAGTAAACTTGTCATGTGAGGTGACGAGGCGGTAAACGTGTCATGTGAGGTGACGAGGCAGTAAACTTGTCATGTGAGGTGACGAGGCAGTAAACGTGCTGTCTCTTATACACATCTAGATGTGTATAAGAGACAGAAGTAAACTTGTATTCGCTGATTTCAAGTCATAAATAAATTAATAGATGATTAAGTTGAGTGATGGATTTAGACCCATCAAAACTAATTCCGACACAACTTGAATTGGACGCACACAGATCATTCCAAGCTTTGTACAAAAATTGAAATTTGCTTAATTAAAAGCCTAATAGCTGTTAATTAAAACGTAATTAAGTAGTGTTCAATATTCGTTAGTGTTCTAATTCAAAGCCGTGTTGTATCCCAATACAGCTCACACAGCAAACGGAATTCGAATACATTGATGTCGGCATTGCGTATCAGTTAAATTTGAAGCGCTGACGCAATACGGCTCACCACGTGTCGAATATTGCCACACACAGTGATGGAATATAGGGATTTGGTAGGTTTCCATTCTAAAGGCTTTTTAATAAATATGGCAACATTTTGTGACATTTCATCGTTGCTGACGCGTAGTGAAGTGTTTTGAGAGTCACGTGAAGGCAACAGAACTTACGTAACGCATACGTTTTTTTTATAGTGTTTCATTTCTCGATGCATCCTTAATGTGCCGGAATATACCGCGTTTACCCTAAAGCAAACGTCTCAATGGTCTAATCAAAAATAAAAATTTTCTAAATGCTTAAAATGAAAAAAAGATATATTGCTAAGTTTATTATTAAATACATCTCAATAAAGTTATTGTCAGTTTGTCAAATTGTCACCAAATCAACAAGACACTTTTCAGTTGCTTTTCAGCTTTGCCTTTATTTTAGCCTCACAAACAATGCCATTTATTTAATTGTTAGTGGCAGTTAAAATACTGTACAGAAAGAAGTTTTTAACTAGTGGTGGTTAATAATAAAAAAAACTGGTTAGGAACTTCTGTTTATTAAACACTTAACATTTGACACTTGAGTTAAAATAGTAGGTATAATAGTAGAAGAAAATTCTAAATCAAAGCAAATGCCATTGATAGCAATTTAGTTATTCCAATGGGTAATAGTACCATAAATTACTCATTAAGACTAAGGTCCAAGGACAGGCCTGACAGGGGTTAGGTCATAGTGACAAACCAGAAATTTTTTAGAATCAGTTCATTTTTAATTTCCTAATTTACTTAAGATTTGAACCAATTTCTTATGTAAGATAATGCTGGTATCCATGATACTTCACTGGTCTACTTATTAACTTATAGGACTCAAAAATGAACTTGAGAGAGTGTCTAAAAAACTCTCTGCTTTGCCACTATGGGTTAGGTGGACAGGTAGTTGAGGTAAACCAGTCACCAGCATAGTCATAGTGGCAAACCAGAAATTTTTTAGAATCAGTTCATTTTTAATTTCCTCATTTACTCAAGATTTAAATCAATTTCTTATGTATGATGATGCTGGTAGCCATGAATACCCATGATACTTTACAGGTCTACTTATAGGACTCAAAAATGAACTTGAGGGTTAGTCTAAAAAACTCTCTGCTTTGCCAGTATGGTCACCAGTGGCAGTGAGCAGTGAGAGAACTCAAATTACTCAATCATCATCAAGTTTGGCAAAACATGAACAATTCATTGACCTTGCCATCCTCATTTACTAAGTATTACTAAATTCAGAATCCGTGACGAAATTACTAAATTATGGACTTTTATAGTCAATAGGTAGACTGTTAACTGTAGATATAATTTCGTGGTGGCTGATCCGTTTCATAAAATTTTGTAAATAAACCATAAATTTAGATTACCAATCATTTGTGAAAAAAGTTACTTTGTTAGAAAAATGGACATCAATTTTCGGTAGCGCGTGCAGCTCGACTGAACCCTTCAACGACCGCAAAGTCTGCAATCAAATGGCAGGCCTTGACTGATGATCTGATCTGATTTTGGTTCGTGTTGGGGGACATCCGTGTCCACTTTAGCGGAAATTTCTTACTTTAATATTTTTCAACTCTTCATAGTTTCCAAGACGAGAATAAAAATTATCACATTACGATAACTATAGTGATATTTTCAGGCTTAATAAAAAATGCTTTCAATTGCATTACCATCGGAATTCTTAGACAGTATATAAGTAAGTGTAAGTAATATGCTGTGAATGTTCTGCGATGTTAAGAACGGCCTACTAAACGCTGACACTGCTATTATTATTATTATTATTATTATTATTATTATTATTATTATTATTATTATTTATACCAAGAACCACTGCGTTCTTGGGTACATGCCACGTATCAATATAACCTAATAATATCTTTATTTATAGTATTAAATGCATTCAAACCTACTTTATGAGCTCAAAAGTACCGTTAAGTGTACTGTTTAAATCTATCTTAGTGTCATTGGACCCGAATCATGGCGAATTGCGCTTAGAAACGGTTACAATCAAAACGACATTATCTTGTGTTAGCGACGAACTTTTTTGGAAGTAAAAAATACATAAAGAGCGTTTATGGCACCGAAAGGATCCACGTACCTCATAGAATACTTTGGCGTGCCCTTTGGACCAGCGTCGTGGAAACTAATGATTTAATGTCAAACCAATGCCGTTCAAAGTAACACGAATTTAATGTTTAAAATTCCACGTCACTGCCAAAAGTCGGCACAAACATTCATGGTTGAACAAACTTTCACGTGTCTGCGTGCCATAAAAGAGCCTAAGATTATCTAAATGCGCCTAATCAATTTATAAGGCGTATAAATATACCAAAAAGAACACAATTAAGCCGAACACCAGCCTTAGAAAATCAGTGCAGTTTCCTTGCTTATATTTACTGTTGTACTGTAACCACGATAATTTGTTAAATAATAAAGAATATTGCAATTTCCCGGATGTACGCAGACACCAAGTGATCACTTAAAGATTCTATAGACGAGATCTCGATTAACAACTCTAATTGCTCATCACTGTAAGCTGTAATGATGATCAGCTTATAGCATAGCATAGCATAGTGATTTCGGCGCTGAAGAATATAGCTGATCGGCTGATGTCGCCTGCCGCCGATTGGTGACGACAGCGATTCAAATCGACGCTGATTCAAATCTAAAAAAAGGTCCCTCTACACGTCTTGGACAAATTTACGGCCGGACTCGCGGACGCTCTCCCCGAATTCAGTGAGCAAAGAATATCTCCCAAAGTAGTGAACGTAGCTTACGTTCATTACTTTGCGAGATATTCCATGCTCACTGCATTTGGACACCGGCCGCGTGTCCGGCCGCGAGACTGGCCCCAAGTCTGGCCGCAAATTTGTCCGAAACGTTCCTTCGACCGGGTCGGTCCCAAACTGTCGATAGTTTGAAATAGCTACTAGACTTCCACCGGGTTCGATATGGTGCTAACTGCTACGCATTTCAAGTCGGAACATTATACTTCTTCATAGCTTTATATATAGTTATATGGGGAGCGCAGCCGTGCACCACCAATTTTGTGCACCAATAAGCCCGGAATCGAACGCCTTGGATCTCTTCGGACATCCACCAATCAGCCGTGAACCCCTCGGCTTTGTCCTCCTCCGTCCTTGCATAGAACCTGCCGTGCACCACCAGGCCGCGGATCGAATTTGACTTCCGGGCATCGTTAAATTACGTAATTTTACGTTCAGCATATCTGTGGTTAGTTTCAGATATCATAGTTCTGTTCCAAAATTTATCGTCCTTCGACAAGTGGCCGTTCGACCTACGGCTGGTTCGACGCACGGCCTAGATACGAACGGCTTGAAGTGTTGAAAGCTACGTTCCGAAAGGCAGGAATCATGATGGTCCATTACATCCAGGGCGGTGGTGGTCTTCGGCAGGCGACCCGTTATATGCTAAAATGAATGTATTAGCACTTTGGAGGTCCTAGAATGCTAAGGATCATTTAAATCTTGTCAAATTTCATTTACAATTCTGAGTAAACATGAAATTTATGAGTAGATGTAAATAATTAAAGTGTGGCGATTGAATCATGTATTTGTTTGACAATTCGTTTTACACTCATTTTGTTTGTAGTCATGGTTCTGGTTCCTCTAGTAGATGTTTTTTATGACGCTACCAATCCATATTAATCGTTCCTGACATTGCCAAATCCTTTTGTATGTGTACAGCATGTGTTGACCCATGCTCGATTCAGTTATGTTAAAATATTTCATTGCAGTCATTGGTTAGTGGTTACTGGTTACCAATTAAAAAATTTGTGAATTGATTCGGTGCTTACCCGCACTGTTTATCGAACTGGATTTAATTTTAATTTATGCCGTTAATGCCTCTATCATTGCCACCCACATTAAACAACACTAACACGGTAACACTAACACCTATGTCACGCTTTTGTCGCCACTCGCCAGCCTTGAGGCTTAAGGCTTTGAGCCTTCTAAAGAAACGATTTATTAATTTTATTTTGATTAAAAAACTAAGCAAACATACATTTTAGTTAAACATAAACATATTTAACATAATCTTAAATAGCTTAAAGTTATTTATCAAAGCTAGTGTCTTAGTGTGGTAGGAACCTGAATCCTGAGGCTGATGTCATGAATGTAGAAATAGGATAAATGCTGACAGCTGACTGTCTGTGCTAAGTGTGCCTGTGCTGTTAGCCTAGTGTTAGTTAGTGACATAGTGACAAGTGTTACGGCAAATATCTATAGTAGGCCTATTTAGTATACTAGTATAGAAGTAGACAGTACCTAGATTATAGGCTAGATATACCTACCTAATACTAATAGGCTAATGCTACCAGTTACCACAAGACAAAGCCACAATGACAGTAAGTCAGTAACTAGGTATTCTTCATTATTACGGTATATTCAATTCATAGTTGAAGAATAACAAGGCATTGGTGCATTGCCAGTCAAAATGGAAAGAAATTGGATCAATATACCTACAATAGTGAAATTTAATTTTGTTTAATTTGTCAGTAAAAATTTCATATTATTTTGATTTAAGACTTGAAAAGAAACAGATTAAACAGCTTGCATCAATATTTTGATATGTGTCATATTTACTCGGTATTATTGCAGATTAACTACATCCAAAAAAAAGGGTTTTTTTTTTTGAATTATATGTTTTTTGGGGTGTAGATTACGAATCTGAAATCCATTTTTGGCGGTCGGCATCGGAAAACCGATTTTTTTCGCGACTTACTAACATGGGGGTTACGTAACTTACGTTACCCACTCACCTTTATTTACTAACATGGGGGTTACGTAACTTACGTTACCCACTCACCTTTATTTACTAACATGGGGGTTACGTAACTTACGTTGTAACGTTACCCACTCACCTTTATATAAAGGGTCGGATTGTTCATCGAAATTTTACAAAAAACTCTTAGGTTGGGTTAAGTCAGCCAAGTTCCTTTTTTTAGATAGCATTTTGATCTAAAAGGAACCTGGGCGAACCAACCCAACCTGCGAGTTGGCGTTAGGTTGCTGTCTCTTATACACATCTTATCTGTCTCTTATACACATCTAGATGTGTATAAGAGACAGCTATATATGTATATATAATATAAGTACCACACACTGCCATGTACCACACACTGCCACGTACCACACACTACTACATACAACACAACAGGACAGTAACACCAGCAGGTTACTTCCCTTCTATTCATAACTGGGCCAAAATCTAAGACTAACCATTACTAGGAACACACATTTCCTCATACTCGAACATAGAAATCGCTTGTGGTGCTCCCATGTATGGTCTTACATCCTGATAAAAATGTGTGGAGAAGTTCAACAAAGACCAGGTCATGAAAAAATCTATTCAAAAAAAAATCTTCCCTATCTTCACACTTACTTTTTTGCCAGTAAACTTGCTGTATGAATGTTCAAGGCCATAGTGACCCATGAGATTTGTAGCTCCAGTAAGCTCAGTCTCAGCAGCAGGCTCCTGCAACATTGCCTTAAATGAATAAAATTATAATTATTGCCATATTAATGAGGCTAACTTCAGAAAGTGAGATGAAAAAAGATAATTGTGTATCATTTTAGAAAATAAAGTGCTACACATAAATAATTGCTCATTTCATATTCACACAGAAGATGAATTTAATTTAAAAAATTTAAAGCATTGGCCCTTTCTGCTCAGAGATGAGATAAATCAATTTCACTATAAATTTTTCCAATAACAATGGCACATACTGATGTCCATGGCAATTCTATTGGTAATTTGTTCATTTTGCAGCATGAATTGATTTACAGCTATACAGCTCCTAAAAACGTACACAAAAGCAATAAAGCTTTTTTGAAAATAAGCCTGATAATTAGGTAAGTGATATATATGATCACAGTAAATTAGGATAGAAAATATTTTAGAATCAGTACAGTATTTACTTTACCACTTGAAACAAGAATAATAATTTGTAAAGAACTGGCTTTGTACTTTTCATATGGGTACCATCATCACATGCAAAATGCTCGAATTGTTGATTATGCATTTTCAACAAACGAGAAGAGAACTAAAATCCACTTTGAATTTATCAAGTTTTCAGCAAAACTTACAGAAAAGGTAACCGAAATTCAATGTCTACAATAACATTATTCAAAGTTCTACACAATTGTAGTGAGTCATGCTAGCAATTGTCACCTTCATGAGGTAGAAGGGGCCAGAGTTGACAACTGCAGGATGCTTGCCAGCTGATATGGTCATTTTGAGTGTGCCGGTTGAGTCATGCCGAGGCAGGGAAGCCGGAGCCGCCATTGGGGATCTAGAGCCCCGAGGGGAGGATTTGGGGGAAAATGAGGAAGTTGAGGAGGCCATTTCTCTGGCTGCAAAAAGCTGATCAGACATTGTGCCTGCAAAATACAAAAATAGTGTTGGAAAATTAAAGGTGTATTTTATCATTTGCCATAATTAAAAATGTAGACTAGTCAGTGAATAAATGTTTTATGTGAACCAAATATTCATATGGCATCAGTAATATAAGAGTTTATGATACAAACTTGCTGATCATAAAAAACTGCACTGAAAAGCAAGATCTAACCTGCACTAAGAGGCAAGATCTAACCTTGACCAAGGGTTTAGATTTAATTTACATTGAGGGTTAAGTTCTAGCCTGCATTGAAGGTTTTGATCTAGCTTACACTGAGGGGTAAGATCATAGTCTGCACCAAGGGTGCAGACTAAGCATGTAGGTCTATCCTGTATAGCATAGCTTAGAATCTTTGGTATTGAAGAAATAGACCTGATAAGGCCTGTAGCCAATTCTTGTACTTTTTGTGACTAGTTCACGGAACTGGAAACTGGCCTTTTTGACAAGATCATTGAAACTGACATTGGTTTACATCATCAATGGACTAACTACTTCCATAGGGTGCTGGGCATTTCAAGACTGAACCTTTACTTATGCTCATATTGTCTAGTTCATTATTGAACATTTTCAAACTTGGAGCATCAACAATATCATCAGGGAGGCTGTTGTACATATTGGTGATTCAAACTGAGAAGAAATGTTACTGCATGGATGAATTGCACTGCTTTTTTCTTTAGATACAGAGGGTGAAGACACAACTTGCACAAAAGGTTATGGTCTGGCTAGGACCAAGTGTCAAAATCTAGCCTGCACTGAAGGTTAGGGTCTAGTCTATAGTAAGGGTTACTAAAGAGTTTTCATACAGATTTAGAACTCTTGTGATGTGCAAAGATATTTACAGCCATATAGCATTGTGGAATAAAAAAATTCCCAACAATGAGTCATGCTGAGTATGATATGCATTTCATGAAAATGATCATACCTTTAGATCTCCTTTTTATGTTGAGAGGAAATGCTTGTGATTAGCAATACAAAATTAGCATGTTGAAGAAGAAATTATTATGACACTATGCAAATCAGTTCTATAAGATAATTCAGAAATATGAGACTACACAATACAAATTTGTTAGCTGAAGGCCACAGATCCTATAGACTTGTTGAAATTCCTGAAATAGATAAGAAAGAAATATTTGTTAAATTGTCTTTATATTATATATACATATATATATTTATATTTTATATGCATGCAATTAGTGACCAGAGAATTTGTTGATTTAAATTATCAGAGAGTTGGACAATTCTTCAGATGACATTGGCAGATCAAAACGCATATTTCAGGAAGTAGTTCTAACTTTTTAATGACATTTCAAATGCAACAAACATTCATTTTCTAGTTACAACAGCATTGAATATTGAAATTTCAGTAGAAATAAGTACATAACATACCGTCAAATGGGGTAAAAAGGGACAGTTTTGAGCGTTTTTTGTTAATAACTTCTTACCATGAAACATTTCAGAAACAAGTTTAGGCTCATTTTATAGCTCTTTGCAAGGGCTATCAAATGGCATCTTCAAAAAAATTCCATATGCTATTCTAAAGGTGCCAGACGCAAAATAAAACCGTCCCGATTTACCCCTGGGAACAGGGTAATCCGGGACCCTTGCAATAAAAGTTAATTTTAAAACGTTTGAAGCATGCAGAGTGTACTCATCCATTACTAACAGTACTTTGAAGTCCTCTTTCATTGTAGATGATGTAGATGTAAAATAAATGACATTTTCTGTGATTTTTACTTGTTTTTCATTATTGGTATTATATTACCATATTCAAGAATTACTGTATTATTAATGTGATATTACTGTATCCATGGACATGCCATTGAGCATTGACAACAACCTTGTCCACCGCAAGCTTCATATCAGCAGCCATGTAGCATTTTTTCTGTATCTGTAAGCTTACAGGATGGTTTGTAATTTTGCACAATTTTAATTGAGTCAAGTGATTTCACTATAACAAAAAAAATTGTGAAAAACATAGTACCTGAAACAGAAAATAATGTTTTTAGTGACAACCATCATATTTTTGGAGAAATAAATCATAGTTTAGGTCAATTACTTTTCATTCTATGATGCCCGGTGCACAATTCTATATATAGCATTCTATGTACAAATTTGTGACAACCAATGATGCACTAATTTTTTGATAAGTGAATTTTTTTCGCTGAGTAAGGTAAATGTAATCAAAATTCTTTGTTGTTAATCAATTTTTTTTGTTAACTGGAACCTTTGCTAACTGAGGTTCTACAGTAAATGCATTTTTAAGGGTGTCCCTAATTACCCTGGGGGGGTGTCCCAAGTAGCCCCGCCGTACGGAAATGGCTGCCATTTTTTTAGGAATGAGATAGGCAAATTCCATCAATTACGTTTTCAAGCCAACACCTGGATGCAACTTTTATGTAAGTAAAATTTTTTAATACGGCAAATATTTTTTTTGCTCTTAACCTTAGCAGAGGTACTTTTCCAAAATCACACTTTTACACTTTTTTTCAGCAAATTTTTAGAGATAGTAAATGTTTGATTTCTTGACTAGCTTTATACATAATAGATATGGTAAATGCGGTATATTCCGACACATTAAGGACGCATCAAGAAATGAAAAACTATAAAAAAAACTGTATGCGTTACGTAACTTTTGTTGGCTTCACGTGACTCACAAAACACCGGACTACGCGTCAGCAACGATGAAACGTCACAAAATGTTGCCATATTTATTAAAAAGCCTTTAGAAAGGAAACCTACCAAATCCCTATATTCCGTCACTGTGTGTGGCAATATTCGACACGTGGTGAGTCGTATTGCGTCAGCAATACGACTCACCACGTACGTATTGCACGTACGCGTACGTATTGCACGCAATACCCGTACGTATTGCACGTGTTCGAATTCCGTTCGCTGTGTGAGCTGTATTGGGATACAACACGGCTTTGAATTAGAACACAACGAATATTGAACACTACTTAATTACGTTTTAATTAACAACTATTAGGCTTTTAATTAAGCAAATTTCAATTTTTGTACAAAGCCTGGAACGATCTGTGTGTGTCCAATTCAAGTTGTGTCGGAATTAGTTTTCATGTGTCTAAATCCATTTCTCAACTTAATCATCTATTAATTTATTTACGACTTGAAATCAGCGAATACAAGTATACTTAAAGGATTCCTAATATATTCACAGACGTATTTAAAAGTCTTAAACCATAATATTCTTCCTATAAACACAGTTATTCACTATTTGGTAGAGCAAGGTCAACTGTCAAATTTGACACATTTCTCGATGATCTCACCAAGTAGCATGCATTGTCTCTCTTTGGATCTCAATATTTTCCCGCTAGATGGCCAAGACCTAGTGTTTTGGCATTAGTTCGATGCACAAATGTATGACGTCACCATTTCAACCATCAACGAACGCATGGAACTAAAACAAAGCTTAATATAAAGGAATAACTAGAGAGGTGACGGAATTACCCATGATGTCGGAATATACCGCGTTTACCCTAGTAAAAATGTTGAAGTTAACGCCACTATTTTTAGTTTTGCAATATTTTGATTAGTAGTTTAGCTGTTACAACCAGGATGGAATTCTAGTATTGACGGTTCATATATTATTCCCGATACACCTACACCAGTTTTTCGATACAACATTATTTGAGGCAAAAAAATGAACTTCTTATAGGCTTAAAACACGTATGGGTATGCTAAGTTTCTATATGGTAATTCACTTGGAAATGTTGCGTGCCAGCAAGGCTGCAGGCGCAGCTTTCACTCAACAATTAAAATTATACAAAGTATTAGTTCGTTAAAGATTTGTCTCTTAATATGGTTGCAAAGAAGTAAACTTAATAAAGTAATTACAGCCACCGTGACTACGCTCTCAAGCAGACTTTTCCATGATGCACACACTAAACACGCAATTCATGGGAGCGAGACTAAATAGAACAACAAAAGCAGGCGCCCGGCATGCAACTACGAAAACGAATGACGATCGTGGCAGCGGCGGCACGGTTCATACCGTTAATATACTCAATGCAAGAAAATGATTAATTATGATATTTCTGATAGAGGTTTGAAATATTTTCAGAAGCCTAAAACTATAACTATAAGCCTAAAACTATTCCGTGTGGATTCCGTGTCATCAAAAGGACAAAAAGCTTATGTATCAAACATACGTGGTAGTACAATAAATTTTGAGATCTCCCGTCATGAGACTTAAATTCATACTCATAGGTGATCTTGAATTAAAGCACGGCATTCAATTAAACAATTTGTAAAATCATAAATTTCAAATAGGTACCAACTTTTTCAATTTAATTCTGAATGAGTCGCGTCTGTTGAATTCTAATAGGGATCATTAATTTTTGCATTGTATTTCTGAAAATTAAGTATTGCATTTCTTTTAAATTAAAAACATTCTTTCACATCAAAAACAATGATTTTTTTTCTTACAGCTTCTCTGATAATTGATGATCTCACTCATATAACTTAATATTTTAAATTTAATGATTTTGTCATTTCGATGACTAAACTTTCTTTGGTTCATTAAAATAAAATAATTACTGCTTATAAACAACCAACGTTTTCTAAAAGACACAAGACGTTTGAAAACTCGCCATGGGAGACAAAATCATTCAGGATTTGAAGTGAAGTTATTAAGACAAATTTGACATTATAGGGCAAAAACATGAATAAATTCGTATTTAGAAGCATATCAATTGGTGTTTAAATTTTGAAACAATTTTCCCTCATTTAAATGTCACTGTGAAATGTGGATCAAATCTATTTATTATGAAATTGAACTTTACAAGACCAAAACAAGTTGTCTGACACCGTCTTGTCTAATGTCTGNGCAGTAAACGTGTCATGTGAGGTGACGAGGCAGTAAACGTGTCATGTGAGGTGACGAGGCAGTAAACGTGTCATGTGAGGTGACGAGGCAGTAAACGTGTCATGTGAGGTGACGAGGCAGTAAACGTGTCATGTGAGGTGACGAGGCAGTAAACGTGTCATGTGAGGTGACGAGGCAGTAAACGTGTCATGTGAGGTGACGAGGCGGTAAACGTGTCATGTGAGGTGACGAGGCAGTAAATGTGTCAATCAAAGCACTGCTCAGTTGCGACTGGTCTAAAGCAGTAAAGGCAGGGTCTATCTCTCCTGTCGAGCGTCTGCAACGGTGTCTTCTAACATTTAACTTACAACCTCAAACTCTATTGATTAAAGGAGGTATATCCAAATTCATCACAACCAACCTTTGTGAGAAATTCCTCATTCCTCACCGTAAATTTGTATATTGGCAGGGTTTAATTTTAATTGTAAGATCTATTATTAGATTAGAATTTGTTAAATTCCCTTCGCTTACTTGATCCAAAGAATGAACGTATAATCCAAATCGTGGGTTCAGGTGCGGGTGGAAGTCATCTGTTGTAAATTACATCATACCGTATTTGCCGCCAGCGGAAGCCTGTGAAATTGTTTCGTTTAGACGAGTTGTTGAAATCTCATTGTGATTCATTCTTTAAAATTCACGACTTTCGTGAAGATTGCCGTTTCCTCACCGTGTGGCAACTAACCTGCCATTACGTTCATGTATCTTTATCGTCTTACTTCAGACCTCTTTCTCTTTTCCTTGGTTTGTGTGAATGCCGTTTGAATTTATTTATTTTAATTATAGTGCATTTTCTCATTTATGGAAAAAGGCGCCATTGTGCTGGTCACGTCCGTCCGTCTGTCCGTCCGTCCGTGACGACTTTTTCGCCGACGAGAATATGCGCTCTCTGTCACTCACTGCAGTGAGTACTGAGTTATATATATTTTTATTGTATTCATCTTTTAAATCTGTAGGAAAGTTGGAGTTAGTTTAAGGTTTGCATTTTCAAATTTGTTTAAATTTATATTTCATGCTTCACACTTCTACATCACACATTCGTCACCCCGTCCTTTCAACGAGTAACCAACCCGCCACCTTCAACTTCTTCTGACCCGACCTGAAGATTTCATTTTGGATTTGGCTTGTTCCGGCTGAACATTAATCTTTTGATGGTACTTCAAATCTGTCTTTCTAAGACGCAAAACCGCTTTTAATCAAATTTCAAAACTTTGATAATTAAATTAA